TCGCCGAGCGCACGCGGAGGTAGTGCCGGCTGGCGAGGCACCAGAGCAGCTCCGCGAGCGGAAGCGTGAGCACGTACAGCAGAATGTTGAGCGGCCAAGCGACGGAGAGCCAGCGCCACATGCGGTAGATTGCGCCGTCCTCCGCGCCGACGCTGCACGGTAGCGCCTCCCGGTCGAAGAGGCCACCGCAGCCGCTCGCACCCGCAGCCCTGACCACGCACCTCGCCGCCTCCTCGCTGCTCGGACCGTGCCGAGCCTCGGGCAGGCGGCCAAAGCCGTCTGCAGGCTGCAGGCGACGGCGCAACGCGCGGGCCAGCAGGCGGCAGAAGCGCGTCGCGTCGTTGGTCGTGTCGGTGTCCATCGAACCTCGGCGAACCAGTCTTCGAGAGAGAGAATTTTACAAGCAAACTCCCTCGCCCAACACTGGAAGAGAGAAAGCGGATAGCGAACACAACACCCTCTCCTCACATGACAAACGATCCCACGATTGCGAATGTGGGGACTACATGATTACAGGAAGGGTGGAGGGGCCCGTCTGCAGAGCTAGGCGGCGCGGGCACCCCCCACTGGGGCCGAGGACAAGAAGCCGTTTGTCGCTTGCTTGTTCTTTTGCTTGTTGATCCAGTCGGTACGCTCCTTGCGCGCCTGCTTGTTGATGTTGTCGGCGTCGCCCGCCACCGCCGCCTTGGAGTCTGCTGCGTGTGGTGGACGACGAAGGAGGAGGCGCTCGCCGACGCCGCCCCGTACACCGTCCGGTCCACACAAGAACACACAACGCACGCTCTCGCATTACAAGGGACACTCTGTCATGTCATGTTCATGTTCATGTTCATGTCGGGGAGGACAAGACAGACCCACCGAGCATGGACAGCCTCAGAACTCGAACCCGAGCCGGCTCGCTCCCGCGACACGGGATATGGCAGGCACGACTCAGCAACCGCGAGCCGCTCACTCCCCCAGTCCCATTCCATCATCTTCCCCGCCTCCTCCACCGAGCGGATCCGCTCCCGCGCCGCCTCTCCCACCACCTCGCGGTCGCGATCGCTCATGCACATTTCGAAGGAGCACCGGAGCCACTCTCGGAGCGCAAAGTCCTCCTGGTCGGCGTCGGGTCCCGCACTGAGCCCTGGTGTCGAGGTGTCGAGGCCCGGTGTCGAGGGTGTCGAGCTGCTGTCGAGGGGCAGAGGTGTCGAGGCCTGTCGAGGCCTGTCGAGGCCTGTCGAGGCCTGTCGAGGCCTGTCGAGGCCTGTCGAGGCCTGTCGAGGCCTGTCGAGGCTGAAACCATGCTTGTCCGTGTCATCTCGTCCGTGTCGAGGAGTGTCGAGGGGTGTCGAGGGTGTCGAGGGTGTCGAGCGTGTCGAGCGTGTGTCGAGTGTTGTCAAGGTGTTTAGCGTCTAAGGTGTCAAGGTATCCAAGGTGGCAGGATGCAGTTGCAGCCCATAACAAAACTTGGGCAGCAGTTGCAAAGCTGTTTCATCCCTTAGTTGCAGCCTCTCAGTTGCACCCCTGTTGATGTAGCACAACCTGTGAGCACAACCAGTATACTCTGTGCGGGACATTTGAGGACATCAAGCTCACTAGTGCCAGGAGTCATTGCCACTGCACAAGGTGCTGTGCAGGCGCAGCGCCTAAGGCTACAGCACACCCCATGCAGCAGCGTCGCCGCTGCAGAGTCGCTGCTGCACTCGCCTGCGCACACAGCGCAACTGACCACAGCGCTCATGGCACAGGCTGGTGCCATGAGTCAGTGGACATTGCCACTGCACAAGGTGCTGTCCAGCAGCTAAGGGCTACAGTACCCCATCGCAGCAGCGTCGCCGCCGCTGCCATCGTCGCCGTGTTGCAGCGTCGCCAGTGCACAAAGCGCAATGGACCACAGGTCTGCACTCATGGCACAAGCTCACTGGTGTGAGGACTCATTGCCACTGTACAAGGTGCTGTGCAGCACCTGAGGGCTACCTGAGTACTGCCATGGTTGCTACCTGTGGTTGCTACATCAACAGGGGTGTGCAACTGAGCTGCAACTTGAGCTAGAACTTGAGAGGCTGCAACTGAGGGATGAAAGTACTGCCAGCCAAGTTTGATTGCTGCTGCAGCCCTGATTTTCTACTCTGTGACTGCAAATGGGTCTACCCGGTACGTCTCTGCTGTGTTAGGATCATCAGAGGTGTCGAGGTGGTGTCGAGCGGTGTCGAGGGGTGTCGAGGGGTGTCGAGGGGTGTCGAGGTGTCGAGTTTGGCACCTTGACATGGACGAGCATGGTCCCAGCCTAGATGGTGTCGAGGGGTGTCGAGGGGTGTCGAGTTGGTCGAGTTGGCATGGGGTGTCGAGGTGTCGAGTCGGTGTCTAGGTTTGGTGTCGAGGTGTCGAGGCCAGGGCTTAGGTCCCGCACCACGCGCCACTCGCGCCGGCGGGTTCACCAACGGCCGGGGCGGGTCCCGCACCGGGCGCGCCTCCACCACCCGCTGGTTGTCGCCGTTCTTCATCGCGAGATCCTGCGCCCGCAAGCGCGCCTGCACGCGCTTTGTGCCGGGCTGGATGTTCTTCTCGATCCAGCGCAGCTGCTTATCCAGCGCATACACCACCTCGCACAACACCCCGTCAATGAATTCCTCCTGCCCGAGCCGAAGTGCATGGGAACCCAGCCGCCCCAGCTGCCGTCGGGCAAGTATTCCGTCGCGTTGCCCCCGAGAGATGGCTCGGGAAGATGCCAATATGCCCGCTCCATCACCCGCCCGCACGCAGCCGCAGCGCTCGCCCACTCGAGCGGAGCCTTCTTGCGCTGCGACGGGAGTCCACGGGCTCCACGAGCTGACGGCGCGCGGCGGGAGCTCGCCTCCCCGGGCTGTCGGAGAGGGTGTCGGAGATTTAGCGCCCACGGAACGCAGCGGCGCCGCCGCCGCGCCAGTTGGCGTAGACGATGAAGAGGAAAACCAATAGAGTAAAGACGTCAGACGAGGCTGAGGGTGGTCTGCAGAGCCCAAAGTCTCGCAGCGCGATCCCAGATCGAGGGTTGGCACGAGCTAACCACCCCTGTAGTGGGGCAGTGAGCGGTGGCCTGCTGAGCCGGGTGGAGGCGGTCGCCTGCCAAGTGGTCAGAGAGGGAATGGGGCACACTCATCGAGGTAGATGGCGATGCCTGGGTTGATCTGTCGGGACAGTGCTGCACCGACCCGAAGGGGTTGGTATGCTGAATTACCTCACGGCAGGCGACCTTTGCCGCTGCCTCGTCTAGCACCGCCGCGCCCTCCTCATCGTCGTCGTCCATCGCCGCTCGCCACATCTGCTGGCGCCACGCCTCCACGTCGAAGTTCTGCTGTTGCTGCTGCTGCTGCTGTGCTGCTGCTGCTCCTCCTCCTCCTCCTTCTCCACCCCCACCAACTCCTCCTCAGACTCACCCGCCGCAGCAGCCGCCTCCACCTCGCCGCCAGTCGAGCCGCCCACAGACACGCCAAGGGTGCCCGATGGGTGCACCATAGGTGCCGGAGGGGTGCCAAGGCCCTCCGACGCCTCGTCCACGGGCGACTCGTAGCCGCCTGCGCCTCCGCCCCCGCCCACGTCGGCGGCCGCCTCGCCCTGCGCCGCCTCGCCGCCCAGCGTGGCAGCAGCGAGAGCTGGGGAGGTGGTGAGGGAATTCTGCGAGCATCGGCGCAGCCCGGCGCGCAGCTTGGCCACCTCGAGCGAGTCGTCGATGCCGAGTTGAGCGAGAGCGCACGCCGCGACACATTCCTCGAGGAGGAGGCCGTCGACCTGCTCCGCAGCGAAGCGAGGAGCATGTGCCTCCAGCCTCACAGAGCTGAGGAAGGCGCAGACGTCGTCGACGGACCAGTTTTTGACTTTCCGCGGCTCGCGTCCCTCGCCCAACCGGCCACGCTCTGCTTCATTCAACCGGCCTGGAGCGCGCCGTCGGGGCGCGACGGCCGCGACGGGCGCGCGCCCAGGCGGACGCCCAGTGGCCGGGCGCGTCCCGGCCTCCGCCGCCGCCACCGCCGCGGCGGTGGCAGCAGCCGAGCTGTGCATCGTAAGTTCGAGACGCCATTATGCATTAAGGTCATTCACGGGAGTCCGCGGCCCATGTCCGCTGGTAGGACAATGACCGCCGTAAACCCTGTGATCAGCTCCATGCGATCTCGGATATTTTTTGTAGGCACCGGAACGCCAAAAAACTACTGTGTATGTATGTATGTGTACTGTGTCTTCGAGTGAAAAGTAATCCGAGCAAAGCCGCGGCCGCAGTGAATTAAAAGGGGCGGTTTTCGAGGGGGCATCTGGAGAATCTGGGAATCTGCTCACTACGGAACCCCACCTCACTCATCGAAAAACTTTTCACTCCAAGACATAGTACTTTTTGTTTTGTTTTTGTACTTTTTTAAGGTGCTCTACAAGCTAGGCCGTCAAAAGATACGGCATTGCAGGCCATTTAGGGCCCCTTAGACGGTCACTGAGTAGGCCCAACCTTAAGGAACTAAGCGTCAGACTCCTCGAAAGTAACTAAGTGTCCGTTTGTTTCTTTTTCGACACGGCAAGCTTCCATCGGCTGCTTGCATACACGTATGCATGCAACCTCAACATGCAACCTCAAGCAACCTCAAGAGACACGCCGAGCACGAGAAGCACCTTTCCGGCCGCCGAACCTCACTACTGCATCTTAGCCGAATGGTCGCGCCGCCGACTCTTTCTTTCGGAGGCGGCCTCGGCTGGGCGGCAGAGGTCGTGCCGCTCCTCCGGCTCGCGCTCCCGGTCGTGCTTTCGAACGGCCTGCAGCAGTCGCTGCAGATTGTTGATGCTGCCTTTGTCGGCCACCTCGGCACGGACGAACTTGCAGGACGCAGCATAATTCCTCGAGATATCCGACCGCTCTTCTCATCGCCCTCCTTCATGCCCTCCTTGTCCCTCGCAGCTTGCTCGCTGGGAAATTTTCTCTTCAACATCATCTGGGCATTCCTCCTCGGCGTGGCGACAGCGCTCGACACGCTAGCGTCGCAGGCGGCCGGCGCCGGCGACACTGTCGCTCTCCGGCGCTGGGGCGTGGCGGCTGCGGCGGTGATGCTCGTGCTCTGCCTCCCGACGTGCGCCGTGCTGCAGCAGAGCGCTTGGGTGCTCGAGCGCTGCTTTGGGCAGAGCGAGCGCCTCTCGCAGATGGCGCAGCGGTACTGCCGCGGCCTACTGCCAGGGATCCCGCCGCTCGCTCTGTTCACCGTCGCTCAGAGGCTGCAGCTGGCGCAGGGCCGCGCTCTGCCGTCGATCCTCTCGCTGCTCGCGGCCAACCTGCTCAACTGCGGCACCAACCTCCTCTTCATCTGGCGGCTCGGGCTCGGCTTTGACGGCTCTCCGCTCGGGACTTCCGTCGTCCGCGCCGTGGCGCTGCTGCTGCTGCTGCTCTCCGAGCTGCTGCTCTCCGACCGCCGCATCGACCGCCGACGTCGCGGCGGCGGCGGCGGCTGGCTCTGCCCTTGGCCCAGCCCCTGCCCGCCTTGGCCCGGCCCCGGCCCGCCTTGGCGCGGCCCCTGCCCGTGCGGCTCCCTCTCGAGCGGCGTCGGCCCTGTGCTCGACCTGGTTCGGCTCGGCTTGCCCGGAGGGGTCTCGCTCGGAGTCGAGGCGGCGCTCCACCCCCCCCCCCCCTAGCCCTAGCCGAGCCTGAGGCGCGGCACCACCGCCGCGCTGCTGAGGCAAGGAGTGGCACAATAGGCGTGGGCCTTTGAGGCGCTCGGCCGCGCAGCCCGCCCGCGCAGCCCGCCCCAAAATTCTCTTCGCGCAGCAGAGAGCGCCGCCTCCAGGCTGCAGCCCCGCCTCCAGGCTGCAGCTCCGCCGCAGGCGCTCGCTGTCCTCGCGTCGCTGCTCGGCAAGGTCTCCCTCGACGCGTGCGCGATCCTGCTCTCCCTCTCCTCGCTCGCCTTCACCGCGCTCCCCTTTGGAGTCGCCGTCGCGGCGAGCATACGGGTGGGCAACCTGCTCGGCGCGCAGCAGCCGCGCCGCGCGCAGGCGACGGCGGGCGCCGCCCTCCGCCTCGGCGTCGCCGCGATGCTCGCCGCCTCCGCCGCCCTGCTCCTCCTCCGCCCTCGCCTCGCCTCCCTCTTCACGGCAGATACGGCGGTGGCGGCGCGCGTGGCCGCCGTCGCGCCGGTCGTCGCGCTGCTGCAGGTCGTCGACGGGTACCAGGCCGTCGCGGCCGGCGTGCTGCGCGGGCTGGGCCGCCAGCCGGCCGTCGCCGCCGTCAACGTGCTCTCGTTCTGGCTCGTTGGCGTGCCGCTCGGCGCCGGGGCGGCGTTCGGCGCGCAGGGAGGCATCGGGGCGCTCTGGGCGGGGCTGACGGTCGGGTTGGCCGCCGGATGCGCGTGCTACGCGTGGATGTTGCGCCGAGTGGAGTGGCCCGACGAGGCACGCAAGGCGCTCCGTCGCAGCACGCGGCTCGGGACCAAGGGCGGCGCCGACGCTTGCGGACTCGCCGAGCCGCTCCACGACTGGAGCGGGACCAGTGCGGCCTCGAGCGGCAGTTCTTCAACGTGTTGAGTCGAGGCCTCGAGATGCCTCGAGCAGAGGGTGGGTGATCCACATCTCCAGAGATCAACCACGCACAACACGCACACAATCACAAAACTGAGCGGTCCGCTCGTCAGACTTTGAACGGGTTTTGCATTTAGTTTGTTAATTGCATTCCGCCGCTTGTTGCATGATGCGTATACGTGCCCGGAGAGAGCAAGATACTTTATAGAGGCGACTCAACTCTCAGGCGTGGCCCGTGTGAGGAGAAATTGTGCGTTGTGGGCTGTGCGGTGCACCCTGCACAGCAAACACTGGGCCTCCGGCCTTGCGCCTACACACACACCCAGTCACACAGCGCGAGAACGCGCGAGATCGACTGAATTCTCGCACAAATTACAGCGAACACCATGTCACACAAACACTGTACACGGTAGGGCCAGGGGCTGTGCAGCGTATTTCCTGTGCTCATATCCCGATATCCGGCGGTCCCATCATGATTCCAGGGGTGCCGGGAACTCCGCCTTCGCGCCGCACGCGCTCGAGGTCCTTGGTCACCAGCGCGCGCATCTTCACCCGCCTCTCCAGCATGCGCCTGCCCTCCTGCGCGAGCAGCACCGACTTGAGACGCCTTCTGGTCGTCTCTTCGCGGGGTGGCAGCGGAGAAGACAGCCCGCTCGCGAGGGCGTAGGCGCACAGCAGCAGTAGCAAACGACAGACCGCGGCGAAGCGCATGGGTGGGATGCTGTTGTAAGCGATCGGGTAAGCGGGTGAAGATGCGCGCTGTTGTTAGCGGATCGGGCGGCGGCGACGATCGGTTCATCACGGCCGATTTTTCTTCTTTTCCCGGGGGGCCAAGCGTTCTTCTTCCCCAACAAAGCCGCGCGAGGCCGCCCGCCTTCCACGTCGGCGCCATGCTCCCGCCTCGCCTTCGGGCTCTGGCGGGTGTGATGGGCCCGTCACGCAAGTTGTGCCTCGGGGAGGATTACAACATACTACAACATTGAAAAGCAAAGGGGAAACAAGAAAAATATGGCGTGCGATCGAAGGTCGCCGTCAGGGACCCTCAGTCGCCGCTCTCGGTGCAAAGACCGGGAAAGAGCCTCTGCAGACACGATGCTCGCCCTCTCCGCCGCCGCCCCGGCCCTGCCTGCGACGACGGCCGCGGGCCGCGGCGTGCTTAGCCCTGCTCAGCCGACGCCGTCCGAGTGGCACCGAGCGCGGCGACGAGCCATACTCGAGGCGCACCCATCCATCGTGCGGTCGCTGGTCGGCAAGGAAACGACGACCGTGCCGCTCCTTGCCGCGGCGAATCTGGCGCAGGTAGGAGCGTGCATCGCAGGGTCGCACCTTCCGGGGTACGAGCTGGCGCCCGCAGCGGTGCTGGTCGGCGGCACCCTCTCGCTCTGGCAATTTGCGCTGCTGCATGACGTCAAGCACGGCACCGCGGAGCTGCCGAGGGGCGTGCGGATCAACGACGTCGTCTTCTGGGGCAGCCTGCCCTCGCTCTTCGGCTACTACCTGTACCTGCGCTGGGGCCACCTCAGCCACCACGCCAACTTCGGAGAGAGGCGCATCGCCGAGCTGTTCGACTCGGAGCAGGACAAGTTCGAGGACGGCGACGTCATGTTCGTTGCGCATCGGCAGCTGCTCCTCGGCGACGAGCGGAGCGAGCGGCCGGGCTTCTTCGGCGGCGAGCAGGTCGGCGGGCTCGGCCTCTCCATCTCGCGCACTATCTACGCGTGGCTCTGGTCTGGCCGCGAGGGGTGGGCGTGGTACAATGCGATGGTGTACGCCGTCGGGATGGCCTACGAGCGAGCGGCGCTCGTCGTGGGTGGAGGGTGGGTTCCTGCGCTCGCCGGGCGCAACTTCTTCTTCCCCAACAAGCCGCAGGCCTTCCACTCGGACTGCGCCGCCTACGCGCGCGCCTCCGCCGCGCTGCAGCTGCTGCTGGTCGGCCTAGCCGGCCCCGGCGCGTTGTGGTGGCTCTTCTGGGCCGAGGTGGGCTGGCAGCTGCCCATCCACCCGGCGAGCGCGATGTTCGTCTCCAACCACCCGTCGCTCGACGCGCCGCGCGGCGAGGGCGTGGGCGGCTGCCAGCCGACGGCCTCCATCTACCTCGAGGGCGCGGCCGGCGAAGCCTTCGACTGGCTCTGCTGCTTCTCCAACTACCACACCGAGCACCACGACTTCCCCGACGTGCCCGCCTTCCGGCTGAAGCAGCTGCGCGACGCCGCGCCCGAGTTCTACGCCGACGCGGCGCTCGCCGGCGCGCGCGACGGCTGGCGCGAGACGATGCGCCGCACTTTCGAGGGCAGAGGGTTCTACGCGTGCACCGGCGCACTCGAAACGGTCGACGAGGCAGTAGAGCAGTGGTCGTACGGGCCGACTTTGTAGATTGTAGTTGTTAGTTCCAGTGGGTTAAACTCGAACCAACTGCAGTATACTCAATGAGTAACGAGAAATCGGCGGATAGCTAGATGAGAGAGCATTGCGGGATCCAGCTCAACCACCACACCAACAACGGTGAATACAAAGACAAACGACAGTGGTCGGCAGCCTCTGCGACGCTCCGATCGGCTCCTCGACCTCATCGCCTGCGACGAGCCAGCATGGCTCGTCGCTTGACGGCAGCCTGCCCAGTATGCTTTTGGCATTCTGTACAGCCTCGCCAGGCTCTCTGAGACGGCCTGCAGGGCCGGCGCGGACCGCCTCGGGCGCGATGGCCCTCCTCAGTACCTACCTCTTCGATGCCTGTCGGCTCTCCAATCTCGTCGCCGGCGGCAGGCCCGCATGGCGCGCTGCTCGATGGCAGCCTGCTCAGTACGCCTTGGACAGTGACTTCTGCCTCGCTGCTCTTACTGCAGCCGCCTCCGGGGCCGGCGCCGGCCGCCACGCCTCGCCAGTGCTGTCTACGCCTGCGACACGCGTGTCGGCTCGCCGCCCGCGTCGCCCGCGGCGGGCCCGCATGGCGCGCCGCTCGTCGGGAGCGTGCCCAGCAGGCTGTGCAGGGCAGCCTGCCTCACTCAGAGCGCCGCCGCCGCTGCGCGGGGCCGCCACCGGCGCTGCTGCCGTGAACACTGCCGCCGTGTACGTCACCATCGCCTCTCTTCGTCGCCGATCTCGCCGACGCCGCTCGCCGCTCGCCGCTCGCCGCCGCCCTGCCCTGCCCTGCCCAGCCCTCGCACAAACAAACCAACATACACACACAACACACACACACATTCACACACACACACAACACACCCTGCCCTCACTCGAGCGCCCCGCGCCCTCCCGCCCCACGCCCTGCGCCTCACGCCTCGCGTCCCACGCACGCCCTGCGCCCCCACGCCCCTCACCTCGCGCCTCACGCCTCCCTCCCACCCTCTCAGGCATTTCTCCTCCCTGCTGCTCGCCGACTCCTCCCCCCCCCGCATGACCGACGACTACCCGACCTTCGGCGACTCCTCCCTCTTCGGCGCCAACGTCTACTACCGGGGGACCGTCGCCCTCGGGCTTACTGGAATGATCCCAGCGGCACACGTCTACGAGGGGGGGCTCCGAAAGGTCGGCATGCCTGGCATGTCGGCTTACTAGGCAGGTCATTGACCTCCCCCCCGCTTGTCCACCCGGCGTGAGGGGCGGGAGCGCAGCCATTCCAACGGCTGGGAAAATTTCTGAACGGCCGTGCATGCGTCTGCATGCCGGCTTACTAAGAAGGTCCCTCGCTCCGGCTCCTCTCCCGGAAGACGCGCGCCGGCCTGGGGGACTCGCTTGCGATCCCGTTCCAGCCAGAGGCCGCGTGAGGCGTGTGGGACGGTGCACGCTGGGGCTCGGCCCCAAGTGTGCGCTGGCCTCGCGTCTCGAGAGGAGGGCGGCTCGTAACTGAGGTCCGCCTGCGGAGACAGTCGTCCTCGCCTCCCTCCGACGTCCTCTACGAGGGGGGGACTCCGAACGGCCGAGCATGCCCTCGCATGCCGGACAACTAGGTAGGTCATAGACCTCCCCCCCTCTCCGAGGGCAGAGGCTGCCGCCTCTCGGATACTCGGCCATTCCAACGGCCAGGCCGCTCGCTTAAGGCTGATTGGCTAGACGAGCGGCCTACCTCCACGGGGCTGTTGGCGCAGGGGGAGGTGTCAATCACGCTCCCGGGACGCCGGAGAGATCGGGTTGGTCTCCCCCGCCTTCAGCCCTGACCCGACGGGGACGCCATCACCCTCGCCCAGGGATCTACAACGCTGTCTCAAGGTCCGACAGGTTCGGCACCGGGCACCGCCTCGGTATACAAAATGCGCCTGCGGGCGGACCCTCACAGATCACAGATCACAAAGACAAGCGCCACTCGCGTGAGAAAGAAACACGCTCGGTAGAGTTGTTGTCGAGCGATCTTGGAAGGACGATCAGGGACACAGGGGAACGGGAGTGGGGAGCCTTCCTGCCCAGCGTCGTGCCATGCAACTTGAGTTCTTTTTTTGCTTTGGGTAGCAAAATTTCTTTTTGGTCAAGCCGAGGTGCGAAATTTTCTTCTCTCTCGCGGAATAAAATAGCCAGTTTCGGCGGAGCTCCGAGAGGTAGAAGATCGTCGGCGCTGAAGTTGTGTCGCAGGAGGTGGTGGAGAATGACCTCCAGACTGACCCGGAGAATCACCTCCACCAGCCCCACCCAAGCACCCCTATTATCACACTCTCCCCCCCCACAGTGATGAACCTAGTCTACCTATATCCCTATATTCCCACACCCTGTGCAGTGGCACGTCTCGCCACCTAGATCCCTAATATTGGCACCTTGGGCGCCGAATAGGCGCCCAAATATTGGCACGTAATAGTTCCCTCGACTCTCGAGTCGGCGTCATGTGAGACGCTTGAGAGTCACCCCGCTGAGGCAGTGAGCCCCAGCATCCCCGGTGTAGCACGACGCCATTCCCTTATACCACTCGGATACGAGTTCCTTATACCTTATACCAATCCTACAGTCGTCTGCGACGGCACCCGGATCGAGGATGGCTTTGCAGCCTCACCCGCGATCACCAGTACAGCAGAGCCTTGCACGCGGCTCTGCACTCACACTTGCTGGGCACCAACCTTTGGGTCCAGATGACTATCCCTCTACAAACGAGGGGAGAGGGACGCCTCACGAGCCTACGGAGGGCCTCGACCCGACTTCTTGCTGGTCAGACCACTCTAATCCCTTCCACAAGTTGGCAAACACAACCGCGCCGCTGTGGCCCAAGAACAGGACGCACAAGCCCAGAAACCCCTACCTAGGCACCAGGGAGAGAGAGATTTTAAAGAAACACGGCGTTCCGGCCATTGTTGGTCGCACTTGCGATTTTTTTCCCTTTTTGTGATCTCCGCGTGCCTGTGCTTGTGGCACTCCCCGAGCGCCGCCGCTGTGCGCGCTGAGGCGTACGCAGCTTCGGCGTGAGAGCGGCGGCGGCGGCGGCAATCTGCCGGCGTCCGCCACCAGCGTCCGCCGCTGCACCAGCTCTCTCGACTTCATGCACTACCAGCGGCGCGCCAAGAAGCCTGCGTCAGCTGCGGCAGCGCTGCAGCGGCTCACCGGTAGGATGCAGCGGCCGCGCTGCGATGGCAGCCTCGTCGCTGCATCCGCCAACTTCACGAGCTCTCGCCGCGCTGAGCTCGCCCGCCCGTCGGCCGCGACCGCAGATGCGAGCACGCGGCGGCGGTGCCCTCTCTAAGCCACTAACTGCAGCAGGCGTGACATGGGAGGCGGAACGATGGAGTCGGACGAATCGAAATGGCAGTTGCCCACGCCACCGCCGCCCCGGCATGTTGAAACCAGCCCCGCACTCGCACCATCCGGCCAAGACCCGCACATGCCACTTGCGCTTCCCGACCCGCGCTCCGCCCCGATTTCGGCCTTCAGGCAGCATCCTCGATCGGGCTCGACTTGGACGAGCGCCAACCGCACCGTCGGCGGCTCCGCTGTGGGGCCGACGCCGCGGCCTACTTCGGCCACCGTCGAGCCGGTGCGCTGTGGCTTGCACCTCGGCCTTTCCGTGGCGTTCCTTCCCCGTCCTTCTCCCTCTCTCAGCCAGCTCACTCCCGCCTCCTCCAGGCGACGGTTGCGACGCAGAGCAGCGAGGGCCGACGTGGCCGACGTGGCCGACAGAGCCCGCCCGCCTCGCACGGCGGCGACTACGAGGAGCCACCTGCGAAATGCGCCCGCTCGACCCACCTTGCCTGCGCCGGCAGGTTGGCGGAGGGCGACGCAGGAGGATCTCGCCGCGAGGGACGTGTGCCGCAACCCTCCTCCAAACCGCCCCCGCCCGCGCCGCCGCCGTCACAGCCCGCGCCTCTGAGACTGTGTCGTGTCGGTTCAGCGGGTACCTCGCCCGCTGGGCAGGTTTGAGGACGCCTGCAAGTAGATAGACGTTCGTAGCGGGTACACCGCCTCGCGTGTATGTGTATGTGTGATCTCTGTCTCTCTCTCTTATTTGTCTAAGGCCTGTCTCTGTTTGAGGTGGTCTCTCAGACTCAGTGAGAGAGTCCATCTGAGTTGTCGCTCGGGTTGCCTTGAGGACTTGAGAATTCTTTTTGTTAGTGCGCGCCAGTCCCGCCCAGTGCGGTGCGAGTGTGGCGTTGTAAAATTCTTTCGCCGCCGTGCGGTTGCGGGTTGGGCTGGGCGTCTTTGCCACCTCGTGCTCGTCGCCTGTCCATCGTCGCCTGTCCATATATGACCAATCCCTTCTCGACCACGGGTGCCCGACAGTTTGGCGCGGCGCCGCTGTGGGGCGCTTCCGCTGCGGATGCACTGCAGCCGCCGCTGCGTCTCACCGTCATGACTGGGGCTCTTTTTGGGGCGGCGCGAGCCTCTGTGGAGGTCGAGATCGCCCGGTCGGCGACTGTGGGCGAGCTGCTGCGCAGGGTGATGGCACTCGCACAGCTCCTCTTGCTCGTTCACGTAAACGCACAACAAAAGGGACCCGAAATCGCACAGCGGGGCGCGCGGGCGGCGCCGGGTGATGGTCAAGAATAACTACTCCAGCGGCCGCAACGACGACCGGCTGCAGAACCCAAACGGCAAGAACCTGCCGCAGGCGTTCGCCGACGTTGACGACAAGGACGACAAGCGCGAGAACTTGACAGACGTGCTGCCGTGCCACCCATACTCGGCGGTGGGCAACATGAACCTCAACAGCATGCTGATTGAGAACATCCGCTCGCACGACTACTTCAAGGGGCTCGGCGAGCTCTCCACTTTCGAGGAGGTCGTCGACCAGATCTACTACGACTGCACGTACATCACCCCGTGGCGGCCCGGCACACACAAGGCGCAGCGCGCCGCGGGCATGTGCTCTGGCCTGCGGGGCGTCTCGAACGCGGGCGTGCCATCGACGGCGTACATGCTGCTCTTCAAGCTCTACACGCTGCAGCTCACCCGCAACCAGATCCTGCGCCTCGTCACGCACAAAGACTCGCCGTACATCCGCGCGATCGGCCTGCTGTACCTGCGCTACGTCTGCGAGCCCAAGGAGCTGTGGGGGTGGTACGAGCCGTACGTGAGCGACCCGGAGATGTGGTCCCAGCTCGGCGAGGGCGGAGAGCGGAGCACCCTCGGTTCCTTCGTCCGCCGGTGAGCGCTCTCCCCGCCCTTTCCCCCGCCTTTTGCCCCCTCCCCCGCCCTCCCCTTTTTCTTTCCTCCGCACCCCTTGGGCACACGGGGGCACTTTGCGGGGGCCCCCCCGGCCCCCCCCCCCCCCCCAGCCTCTGCACCGAGCTCGAGTGGTACGACACGATGCTGCCTCGCCTGCCTGTCCCCGTCGCCCGGGACATTGAAAAGAAGCTCGCTGAGGCGACGGCCGCCGGGACCCAACGCGAGCGCGGGCGCGACCGCGAGCGGCGCGACGAGCGGCGCGACGACGACGAGCGCGGTCGGCGGGATGAGCGGCGCGATGAGCGGCGGGATGAGCGGCGCGAGGAGCGGCGCGAGGAGCGGCGCGAGGAGCGGCGCGAGGAGCGGCGCGAGGAGCGGCGCGATGAGCGGCGCGATGAGCGGCGCGAGGAGCGGCCGTACGAGGAGCAGCGCCCCTCGAACCCGCCTCGGTACGCCGACCTCGACCAGCCCGCGGAGGGGCGGCGCGGCGAGGGGCGGAGGGAGGAGGGGCGGAGGGACGAGCGGTACGAGCGGCGCGACTACGAGCGGCGCGACGAGCGGCGCGACGACGAGTATCGAGGAGGCGGAGACACATATCGAGGAGGCGGAGACGTCTTCCGAGGGGAGCGGGGCGACTACCGAGGGGAGCGGGGCGACTACGGCCGCGGAGGCGACTACGGCCGCGGAGCCGGCTATGGCGGAGGCGGGTATGGCGGAGGCGGCTATGGCGGAGGTGGGTATGGCGGGAGCGGAAGCGGCTACGGCGGCGGCGGCGGCAGCGGCGGCGGCGGCTACGGCGGCGGCGGCGGCGGCTACGGCGGCGGCGGCGGCGGCTACGGCGGCTACGGCGGCGGCGGCGGCGGCTACGGCGGCGGCGGCGGCGGCTACTACGATCGGCGGCGGGAGGAGAGGGGGAGGGAGGAGAGGGGGAGGGAGGAGAGGCCAGCCGGCGGCTCGTCCCAGCCGCCCGTGTACGCAAG